AGTCCCTTAGAAAATTCTCAGGAGTTTATCAATCAATAGAATGAGAATAGCTGCCAATATTCTTGAAAACCAGTTTGTCCCTCAAAACTCTATTAAATCCAATCCCAGGAACTACTGCAGTCCAGTAATTTTGGCAACTGCACAAATAAATTTTTCTCTGACATGATTCTGTGATTGATCATAGGTTCTTGAGCTGTAGGATATGTACAAATGGTCATTTTTCTAAATGTCTTCCTGAGAATCCATATCAAGATTATGGTAGCACTGTGGTATATTAATTAATTATCACTAACTTTAAACTAAATTAATGTACATTGAAAAGGCTACTACACTTTTGATATAACTTTCACGTACATTTCTTAATTTGTAGCGGTATTCCCAGCCGTGGCAACTTCCAAATATGTGCATTCCTCAATTTGTAGAATTCTTAGCAATAGTTATAAAATTCAGGTAGTTGAAATGTTAAAGTTAGAAAATACTACAGTACTTTAGGGTTTTTCACCACAGAACCCCTTTAAATATTTGTTTTTTGCCATGGAGCACAGCTATGGGCCCCCAAGACTTAACTCAAGATTTAAATCATAACATGGGTCTAAGTCTACATGGAGGGAAGTAAGCAGTGGGGTGCCACAAGGTTCTGTCTTAGGCTCAGTACTCTTCAATATCTTAACGACTTAGATGAGGGAATAGAAGGAAAACTTACCAAATTTGCAGATGATACTAAGCTGGCAGAAATAGCTAACACCCAAGAAGATAAGCTCAAGATCCAGATGGATCTTGACAGACTAGAACACTGGGCTGTATCGAACAAAATGAAATTCAATGTAGAGAAAAGTAAAGTCCTACACTTAGGCAAGAAAAACCAAAAGTACCCATATAGACTGGGTGAAACCAGGCTCAGTAGCAGTAACTGTGAGAGGGATCTTGGAATCTTAGTGGACAACCAGCTAAATATGAGCCAGCAGTGTGCAGCAGCAGCCAAAAATGCTAATGCAATCCTAAGCTGTATTAACAGAGGGATACAATCAAGATCAAGTGAGGTACTAATACCACTCTATAAAGCCTTAGTAAGACCACACCTAGAGTACTGCATCCAGTTTTGGTCAACACATTATAAAAAAGATGTTGAGACTCTAGAAAAAGTACAGAGAAGGACAACCAGGAAGATAAGGGTACAGGAGCAGAGGTGGTATTCATCCGGTTTGCACCTAATCAGGTGAACTGGTAGCAAGAATTTGGCATGGGTCGCTGAACTGGTAGCAACATCTGGCTGGCCAGGCCCCCGACCTGGTCACCTGGTTTCTGCTCACTCACTTGTCCCGCCTGCCCGATGCTCACTCTCCCCAGTTTAAAGGAGGACTGCTCCTCCGCCCTAGCCATGCATTTTCAAGCAGCTACTTGAAAACACATGACTGTGGGCAGAGCAGTGGTCCATTTACCTGCAAAACTGCACCCAAGGCTGGATTCTTTATAGACACTAGAAATATTGCTTCCCTTGTGAGTAAAGTGCCTGGAGTGAGAGGGAATGAACGCTGGGGGAGGGGGGGGGGGAATCCAGCCATGGCAAAGTTTGCAGGAGCTGCAAATGCATGTCTGTTAACCTGCAAAACTTCTCCAATGCTGGATTTGCTTCCCCTTGTGAGTAAAGTGCCTGGAGTGAGAGGGAATGAAGGCTGACAGGGGTGTGTGTGTGTGAGAGAGAGAGAGAGAGAGAGAGAGAGAGAAGAAAGAAAGAAAGAAAGAAAGAAAGAAAGAAAGAAAGAAAGAAAGAAAGAGGAAGGGAGAGAAAGAAAGAAACAGGGAGATAGTGTGTGTGTGTGTGTGTGTGTGTGGTGTGTGTGTGAGAGAGAGAGAGAGAGAAAGAAAGGAAGGGAGAGAAAGACAGAAAAAGACAAAGAAAGAGAAAGAAAGAAAAAGAAATACGAAGGAAGGGAGAGAGAGAGAGAGAGAAAACTCTGGGCTATTATTTTTAATTGTTCCATTATTTGTAATATTTGTAATGTAATATTTTACATTGTCCCTACACCTAGAATGATTCTACTGCCTTTCTTTTGCCCAGGGCTACCAAAAAAATTTCAGGGTTTACATGCATTCAATGTCTATAGTCCAGAGCATAAATACATGTCTGTTTAACAGTTGAAAGGGACTTTGGAGGTCTTCTAGTCCAACCCCTGCTCAGGCAGGAAAATTGAGGATGCCAAACTCTAAGTAGAGGTCCTGGGAAAGGTGTCAGAATAACAGAATAACACTTAGAAGGGACTTTGAGGGGAACTCTATACCATTTCAGAGAAAGGGCTGTCCAGTCTTTTAAAAATTTCCAGTAATTGATCACCCAGAACTTCTGGGGACAAGCAGGTCCACTGGTTAATTGTTCTCACTGGCAGGAAGTTTCTCCTTAGTATTAGGTTGCTTCTCTCTTTGTTCAGTTTCCATCCACTGCTTCTTGTTTGCCTTCTGGTGCTTTGGGAAATACATCCCCCCCTTTCTTTCTGGCAGCCCCTTAAAAGCCTGTTGCCTATCACACTCTTGGGCAAAGCATGTGAACCATTTCCTCCTTTCAGTGGTCCACGAAAGTACATCTATAGTATGTAGATAATAAAGTCAAAAAAGGTGAACAACATTTTTACAGAACTATAGATAAATTGAGGCTGGGTGTGACAAGGAATGGCTGGGAAGGGAGGGGCCAGGCAAGGCAGCCCTCGACATGAGTGACATTAAGTTGGCCACACCCACTCAGTCACATGACCACCAAGCCATGCCCACCCAGTCACATGGACATCAAGCCACACCCACCCAATCACATGACCACCAAACATGCCCGTCCAGTCACATGACCACTAAGCCATGCCCACAGTCACATGACCACCAAGCTATGCCCGCAAATAAGCCACACCCACAGAACCGGTAATAAAATTTTTTGAATCCCACCACTGGACTGAAGACTAAAGCATAAAGGATGGCTACTCTAGTGAAGAGAAGCACCAGGGGAGACATGATAGCGGTCTTCCAATATTTGAGGGGCTGCCACAAAGAGGAAGGATTCAAGCTATTTTCTAAAGCGCCTGTAGGCCAGACAAGGAATAATGGATGGAAACTGAACAAGGAGAGATTTAACCTGGAAATAAGGAGAAACTTTCTGACAGTGAGAACAATCAACTAATGGAACAGCTTGCCCTCGGAAGTTGTGGGAGCACCATCACTTGAGACCTTCAGGAAGAGATTGGACTGCCATTTGTCAGAAATGGTGTAGGGTCTCCCGCTTGGGCGGGGGGTTGGACTAGATGACCTATAAGGTCCCTTCTAACTATGATTATCTGTATCTGTATCATTTCTTCAAGGTTTTGCAGACTCGCTGTGATGACATTGTGGCTTCCAGTGGTCCGTGGACTACAGGTTGAGAACCACTGGTTTAGGGTATTCTGTTCCTAATAGGAAATATATTTGACCAACTCTACATATTGTAAAAATGCATTCATATATGTGGTAAAGTGTGTAGGACTATTTTGATGCCTATTGTTACTTGTGCCTAGTGGAGAGAACAACATGAACTAACATGGACACAACTTTAGAATTTGGCTAGTTTGTGCATGTACCACTTATTAAAATGTATACAGAGAAAAAGAAATTAGGTACAGCAGAAGACTAAGAAAAACAAATAATAGTAATAGAATTTGCTAAATATAACAGGGAAAGTCTCCATTTTCCAATATACAAGGTTTGAGCACCATTAATAGAGATTCTCAAACTGGAGTGTGCCACCAATAACTCTGGGACTTAAATTTTTGGGGCAAGTGAGATACAACCAAACTGGAGAGAACTGTCAAAATTTGTTCTAGCATCACCAAGAAAAAAAAAAGTTTGTGCAGGAAGCATAAACAGAAAAGCCCATAAATAGTTATGATACTCCAGGCCTAGGAAGAGATCGGGGTATTACCTCCACAAACAAGCCCTCAGGGGGACCAATGAAACAACAACTTGAGTTTTGAGTAGAAGCATGTGTTGCTATGATTAAGAATCTCAGGAATATTTCTACCACTGCTCAAGTCAGGTATGGGCATATGAACGGTTGTTCTCCAATCTGCCATGAAGTGACAGCTTAGTTAAATAGTCAAGACAAGGGTACAATTTTCAGTACAAGGCCCAGGAATAGAGACCAACCTCAGCAAGGCAAATTGTTTGGCAACAGACACAGGTCAGAAAAAAACAGAGTGACTGGATTTCAGTAGCAAGGCTGTACAGGTAGTCATTGATTTCAACCATTCATTGAGTAATCATTCAAATTAACAACAGTGCAGAAAAAAATTACCGACAACCGATCCTTGCACTTATGACCATCACATCATTCCACGGTCATGTGATTGCAATTTGGGTGCCTGGCAACCAGCATAGATTTACAATGGTATCCAGTTGTCATATGATTGCCATTTGCTACCTTTCCAGGAACCTTTTGACAAGCCAGTGAGGGAAGCTGAATTTGCTTAATGACCACATGACTTGCTTAACAATAATAAAATCAAGTGCAACTCACTTAACATAGACATTGCTTAGTGATGGAAGTTCCAGTCCCAATTGTGGTTCTAAGTTAAAGACTACCTGAATCAGCAAAAATGCAGAGCTATCAGAGCTCACTCCATTCCTACTTTGACTGGTAAAGCCAGTAGCTGACTTAGCAAGTAAAGTGGAAAGAACAAAGATCCAGCATCTTTGGATTGCCAAACTCATGGTCAAGCAAAGAGAAGAGGAGGGAGAGAAAACTTGGAGTTCACTTTGACAATGTTCCTATGTTTCAAGCAGAAGTGGATGCAAAATGGAAGCATTTTTTGAAATTCGTGCTACAGATTTGGGTAACCCTAGGGATATCCATTTATCAAAACATTCCACCACCAATCAACCAACCACCATTTCATTTATTTATATTCATTAGCCAGGAATTCCTTGCATTACCATTTTATAGTGTCAAGTGATTCACTTGGCCACCTTCAAACCTTGCATTTTCTTACCCTCTGTTTCCGCAAACTTCCTGGGCTAGTAGGAGAAGGGCTTGGAGACTTCCCAGAACGGGGAGTAGAAAGCTGACTTCCAGGCGTTCCATTAACTAGAGAAACATAAGAATGGACAAGACAATATGGTTTTGGACCTGGCACCTCTACAATTAAACACCAAATAGCATATTGCTTATATTAGCCGATGCTTTCTGCTTTGCCCTTTTGTAGTCTGTGTACTTCTAATAAAAATTAAGTAAAGATACAACTCTGAAGCAATTAATCAGTATAATGTGGGCTGCTCTGTATTCAGTTGGTATACAGTTTACTTAATAAGTGATTGACCAATTTGTATTCAATATGTAGCCGCAATGAAATTAAAAGTATTGTCTGCAACTCTGGACTGCTTATCCGTGCAATATATATATATATATATGTAAGATTATACTTGCTCTTAAAAAAAAACTTGAACAATTGGTCTTTCCCCCTCCTTTTTAGAGATGAGGGGATGTTTTAATATTATCTGTTAGAAATATCAAATTATTGCATTATATTAAAAGGACATTTACTACTACTGATAATTACCTGGAACTGTTGGAAAGATTTCTGTGTGATATATTTGACCTAAGCATTAATGCATATAGGACTCTTCGATTTATAAGATCACTCACTCAGCCTTTCATAGTTGCTTTCATAAAACGAGAGACTTCTAAACTGTTGCTATATTTTCTACAGTTCCTTTCTACTTACATAACATTTGCCTTATCATTTAATACAAAAACTTCACAGCTGTGAAAGCTGTAGAATAAAAAACGTAGGCAAATAATGCTAACACTGCACTGAAAAGAGAGGAGAGAGAAAGAGAGAGAGAGAGAGAGAGAGAGAGAGAGATGCTATATAATAAAATGTCTTCTCAAACATGCTATGGCTAGGTCACAATTACATATACATCAGCCATAAAAAAGCAGTAACCAGCAGACATCCAAATTCTCTATTTTGTATTGATATTTCCAGCCATGATACTAATAAGGCATCGTACTTACCTTCTATGAGTTCTAACATGGAAACAGACTTATTTTTAACCTGATAAAGCCAAGCAGGAAAATATTTGCCTTTTGTACTACACTCCGGCACTGGCAGAAACAGGAAGCGTTAGGATTAGTTAAAGGTTGCCAAAGCAGCTCACAGAGAGAGCTGAATAAAATGCCGGATTCATAAGCCAAAGCTTTTTCTGCGTAAGGCTGACGTCTTCCAAGCAGCAGTAGGAGGTGTAGGTGCCGTCTTAGGGGCTACATCAAAGGTGTCAATACACAACGCCACAACTTCAGGATGTTGAGCAACTGCAACCCTCACTCTGATCTGCCAAGCCCCCATAGCCTTAGCAATCTTATATGCTGCTGCACATTGAATCATAATGAACTGCCTTTGGGAACAATATACCAAATTACTCATCTGAAGATCACAATAATAATAATAATTTTTATCAAAGCATAGCTGACTAGTAGTCTCCGAACTGCTACACCCAGTGGAGAGAGAACTAGATTTTAAAACATTGTCAGATGGGAAGGACATTTTTCTTTCCCATCTGCCAGCTATGCACAGTGATAAATATTCTGCCCAGTTACCTAGATGATGTGTTCTTTATTCAGCTCAGATATAAAAAGCACTTTGTGGAATGATAATTAACTATTACAATACTGTTATGTTAAATTTGTCTTTGGAAGCTTGTTTTTTGCACATTGTATTAGGGTAGGAAAGTTACAGCATTAGCATGAAGATGGGAAACTGTAGCCTTCCAAATGTTGCTTAAAATAATCCCTAGCAGCCCTGGCTAAAAACTAAGAAACATCTGGAGGCCAAAACGATAATAAACTTCGAATTAGTTCTTGAATTCAATTACTATTACAGCCGAAAGGCTTACCATTAAATTCAGGAAATCTGCTGTTTAAATCATATGAACTTTTGGAGAATTTTTGGTGAATTAATGCCAAAGACATTTGCTTGTGAATCACCACTCATTCATCAATAATATTATTGGTGGGGTATGCTTAGACATGGATAATTTATAAGAGATAACAGGATATTCTAAGGGAGGAACACTGACACCAATGTTGCCAACAACATATTACTGCTAGCATGATTAATTGCTTGCTTCTACATAATTTTCTCTTGGAATTAAGGCATTTCATTGAAAGACTTCTGTTTGATTACTGTTTCCCTAAACGCTTATTTAACTTTCAAGCAAAAGCCAACGTTTAGAGATGGAAAGTACATTTTAAAAGGTAAAAACTCTCTTTGTAATATCTCTAGTTCAAAAAATTGAAATCTTGTAGCAGAAGGAAAGTTCTATTAGTGTAAACAATAATAAACTAATTGAAATGAAAGTCTAATTCAATTTCTATTTTCCATTGCCTACTCCATCCATCTCACCCTAACATTTCTCAAAAAAACACAATGAACGTTCTGGAGATTATATATTTTATGCAGTTACATTAGGAAGACAAGCAAATAGATATCGTCTCACTTCTGCAATTCTGATGCTTGTTTGCATTTTATTTGTGAAGCTAATGATGGAAAGGAACACACACCCCTTTCCAAAATAATATATCTCCATAGGATGCAGAAGATGCCATGTTGTTAATATTGGCATTAAGTGTCACCCTCACACAAGACCCTGACAAAGTTACAGTGAATAAATTACTGATGAGGTACAAGAAAATCAGGAGAAGGGAAATACTGGATACTGGTGTGCTGTTTTTTATATTCTACAAAAGTAATCTTTCTAGGACTGAAAGATCAGAGTTTAATTGACTATGCAGACAATGTAGCAGAACTTGAAGTTTTATCTTTTGTTCTATTTTTAAAAGCCCGTTGGACAATTCTACTCTTATATAAAGCACTGGTATAACAATAATGGTAAAAACAGTTGGAGAAAGAATTTTAGAAAAGGGTAATTTATTACTCTGCAAACTAATATTAGTTTGCTGGCATAATGGTCTTGACTGCATCCTGAAATTTTAGCATTACCAAGTTGGAAGTGAATAATGGATCATACACATTTAGAATTAGAGCTGGAATCTCCATCTCCACCCCTACCATAGTCCATGTAAAAATTAAAGTATTCATAACATATGCCTCTCCAACTTCTGTGTGCGCTCATTCAGTAAATGAAAGTCAATCACCACTCTGGAAGATTTCACTATCAAACTTCTCTTGAATTGAAATAAGGAAGAAGAATTTAAAAAAAATTCCAGGCATATTAATACAGTATAACTCATCAAGATAAGCTTTTACGGAGGTAATTGTTAACACAGAAAGAGATGGGTATAAAGATGAACTATGCAAAACAACCAAATTTCAAACTTACCGATAAACTAGTTAGATGGTTGGGGTACAAGGCTTCCTGTGAACATGGCCTCTTTGAAGGAGAAAAATAGTTTCAAAATAAATAAGAATTATTTCTATGGGGAGAATATTTGGCAGAATTTCTCTCCCAAAAGATAACAAAGTAGTTTTATTATATTATTTTATTCTATTAGTCTTTTAATATACTTTATTTATTCTACTGTCATGATTCTTTGAAAATCTGCCATTGACTTTTTGAAGGTGTTGTCTGTGTTTTCTTTTTGGTCACTCAGGCAATAATATGAAGGCCGTGAATATTCTGAACCATTTTACCCCTGATTTTTCATTGAATTGTACATTAGACTTCATTACAACAACATGTCATATATAGGACCCATGTGGCACAGTAGTAAAAATGCAGCACTGCAAGCAAACTCACTGTTCACTGCCAGGAATTTGATCCTGACCGTCTCAAGATCGATTCAGCCTTCCATCCTTCTGAGGTCAGTAAAATGAGGACCCATATTGTTTGGAGGGATATGCTGATTCTATAAACTGCTTAGAGGTGGGCTGTAAAGCACTATGAAGCCATACATAAATCTAAGTGCTTCTCAGTGCTATTGCTACTTTTACAGTGTCAGTGTATAATTTTTATTTCAGGGTTTTTGTTCAACAGGACAAAATTTAAATATTTCCTGATAAAGCTTGTGATATTTTAGTTAGAGATATTTCTATCAGATCTTATGAAGTGCAATCTTTCCTATATTAGAAATTTATCAACAGACAATTTGGACTACATGGTCCCAGAAACCAATTATTTCTTCTTAACACTGTTTGCAAGCTCTGTCAATCACATGCTATATTTTTTCTTTGTCTTTCTGATTATTTTCCATAAACAATACAATTAGCTGAAAATATCATTTGAGCTCTTAGGTTCTTATGTTTCCTTCTTAGAACTTCAGAGGCTAAGGTGAAATAGTTCAAGGTATTTCTGATATTTGATCCAGAAATGTGAAACTTTTTTGTCTTGTTCTATGATATAATTCATTCTAGCATATTGGGTAGCAGGTCTAATATAAATAAAAAACCAAGAAAACAGGGTGGGGGTAGTTTGAGATTAATATCATTTACTAATAGTATACTCTATAATTTGTAGATAGATTGTTCTCAGGGTTCAGTGGCAAAGGGTCTAGCTCAAAAAGTAGCCACAATTTAGACTGAAGATCCTGGTACATGGTTTGGAATACACAGTAGACATTCTTAAGCTCAAGTAAGAATTTGAGACCATGCACCTTACTTTTTGGTTTTATTGCTATTTCAATAATAAAAATGGGAAAGCAGGGAGAAAGGCATGTGCTTCCCCAGCTAAGCTTCTATCATGAAATCCTTGCAGACAAATAAGATTTCCTTTGCTATGCTGTGTTAATAATATTTACAAAAAAAAAGAATAAAATAAGATCACACGAGATGTCTTGGGTGCTGTATTCAAATTCCATTAACGCTGAAGTCTTCATGACAGTTTATAACATGGGTGTCAAACTTAATTGTGTCACATAACATCACATGACATATCGCAATGTTTTTCCCCTTTGCGGAGCTGGGGTGGACGTAGCCTGTGTGTGATACATCTGGCCTTTGGGTCGCCAGTTTGACACCCCTGCTTTATAATAAGAAAGTTGTTCACATTCACACCATCATAACTCTACCCTACACAGAAAATTAGATGTAAAATACAGGTAGTCCTTGACTTACAACAGTTCATTTAGAGATTGTTTGAAGTTACAATGAAAAAAAGTGACTTATGACCATTTTTCATACTTATGACTGTTGCAGCATCCCCATGGTCATATGATTTACATTTGAATGTTTGAAAACTGGTTCATATTTATGACAGCTGCAGTGTTACCTTCTGGCAAGTAAAGACCATGGGGAAGCCAGATTCACTTAACAACGGTGTTACTAATTTAACAACTGCAACAATTCACTTAACAAATGGCAAGAAAAGTCGTAAAGGGGAGGAAACTCACTTAAGCTCAATTTTTCACTTATACAGATCCTATGTATAAACTGCAATGAGCAAACCTGATCATTCTCAGTATTAAACTTGAAATCCTCCTGTACCATCACTGAGATCTTCTAACTAATTCAGAAATAGAGAGTACTCAATATAGCATGAAATTCCTTTTCTTTCCCAAACATCTACTTTAAAACACACAAAAGGATAAAGGATTAGAGGAACATTCCATAGCACGTCGCCCTCAAAAATGATACACAACCACAAAACTTTCTATTAAAATTTCTAGATCTTTAAAATAAGGAAAAAGTGGGTATACCTATTCTGTTTTCTACCACAAATTTTTCTTTCAAAGAATTTGTATGAAACTTGTGTAAAAATATGAAAATAGTTACAGACCCTTCTCATCCTGGACATAAACTGTTTCAACTCCTGCCCTCAAAACGACGCTGTAGAGCACTGCACACCAGAACAACTAGACACAAGGACAGTTTTTTTCCCAAATGCCATCACTCTGCTAAACAAATAATTCCCTCAACACTGTCCAACTATTTATAAAGTCTGCATTACTATTAATGTTCTCATCACTCCTTATCACCCATCCCTCCCACTTGTTACTGTATGACCGTAATTTGTTGCTTGTATCCTTATGATTTTATTGACTGTTTCCTAGTATGATTCAATTGCTTATTGTACCCTATGACTGTTATTAAATATTGTACCTTACGATTCTTGACTCTTGACAAATGTATCTTTTCTTTTATGTACACTGAGAGCATTTGCACCAAGACAAATTCCTTGTGTGTCCAATTACACTTGGCCAATAAAGTATTCTATTCTATTCTATTCTATTCTATTCTATTCTATTCTATTCTATTCTATTCTATTCTATTCTATTCTATTCTATTCTATTTTATTTAATCACACAAAGTGTTTTCTGAATAAAGATTTAAAAAATCCAAGGCAAAGCACATTTTCTTTCCTAAATTTTATTTCAGTTACAATATTTGTACAGCATATAGACTTCAATTCATTGGCGAGATAAGATACTTTTGATTATTTGACAATCCTATCTGCAGTAGGCAAGAAACACTTACTATTCTCCATTTTGAAGACAAAGTATATTTGAACCACACCACTAAGTACAAATATTCAACCACATTTAAATAATTATGATAGCCAAAAAGTTACCTGCTTCTTAGTCAAATTTATATGCACTATGTTACCTGAGCTGGTGGAGGCTGGAGATTTGCTGCGTCGAGATGGACCTGGGCTCTTGGTGGTGCTCCGACGTGGTGTTGAAGCTATTTTGGTATACGAAGTAGATTTCACTACACGACATTCTAAAAGTCAGATAAATAGCATTCCATTAGTACCCTGAACAGCATTCTTATTTCTCAATATGATTTATAGGGGGAAAAAGATCTTGAAATTATTCCTTGCTGTCCTTCATAAAAGTGTGGAAATCAAAACCCATGACTTTCCCAGATTCTGTGGTGCAATCCGGATGACATTGGTGGCCTAATTACCAAAACTCAACTTTCTTTAAGGGGTCAACTTAGAAGGAACAACTAAAAAATGAAAGCAGTTGAAGAAACTCTGCTGCAGATAAATGGACACATTGCACATAAATCTGAATAACCATGTCTTCCAGTCCTCCTGTTCATCATTTGGATTTGCAGTCATGTGTGAAGTACAGCCAAGTATATCTGAAAGGATGAATCTGAAATTTATTTCCATATATCAAGAAAGATACATAAATCCTTCTGTCTGTCACACAATATTTTAAGAAAAATGCAATATGTTTATTTTTTCTATATAATTTGGTGAACACAATAAAACACAGTGTGTATTGTGGGCAGAACTACGCTATTTCAGATTTTCATAACAAATGATGAAAATCAATGAGGAAATAAAATTGCCCTCCTACTTGGGAACAACTCTGTGTCTATAAATGTGCTGAAAACCACATCTGCAATATGTATCTTTGACTAAAACTTGAAGAAATCAGGTTCACATGAAAGCTGATAGAATGAAGTTATAAAATATTTGTCCAATATGTAATTGAAGTGGAAAAATACATTATTGGAGAAATGGATCCAAGTGAGTCACTTGGGAAAAAAATCATAAAATATAAAGTTGACTTTTGGGCAAGTATGCAGAGATCCTTTTGTCTGGTTCTTGTAAGTTCTCTCGTTCAGGTGGTTTAGATTCCACTTTGAACCATTTCAGGGTGGATGTCAACTAAAAAGATACTCCTTTGGTCATTTTAGCTGCCAGAAAAAGGGACTGGGGGGAAAAACAAGGCATTATTGAAATGATAATCACCTAGGCAGCCCAAAGTTGTCGGAGCATAAGAAGGTTATTGGAGAGCATGATGGATGACTCTTGGAGATGGATGTGTCCCATTGGAGAAGTCACATCCAGTGAGTGGGGGAAAGACCAGGGACAAGGGAAAAATGTATGATGTAATTTAGTATTGGCTGCACCCAGCCACGCGCCAACATGGCAACCTCTAATAAATCAATTTTCTTTTCTCTGAGATGTGGCTAGAGACTTTTGATTTGAATGAGGGTGGATTTGTTGGAGCCCTGACAGTAGATTCCACATCTACACCATCTAAGGGCTGTGACAGTTTATTACTTATTTATTATTTAGCGTATGAGGAGAACGTGGCAGAAGAGAAATAAACCTATATACACAGTCCACATAATTAAAACTTCTATGGTAGTGGCCTGATAACTAGATGTCCAAAATTCAGCTGTCCAGGCAATTGCCTCTGGTGTTGCTTCATGCAGCACTTCTAGGTAACTGGTAATACCTAGTTGGGTGTATTGTTTTGATTTGGAGCATCAAGGTTTAAATAATTAAGTATCACATTAAACTTGCATGCCATCCAGAGACATAGTTGTGGGTGGTCATATAAATCATTTAAATGAATAAAATAAGTAAATAAACAAATAATTAGATAATTAAAGTAATCTTAATAGTTAACTGTGGAGGTTATTATCATTGTTCCTTTACTAGGGTCAGATCACTTTCTGTTCCAAATGCAATCAATTACCATCTGTCTCCTCCACGGGACCAAATTCATTCAAATGGTCTGCCTTTATGGACTCAACTAGTTTCAAGTGAGTGCTTGGAGATATCTCCAATAATCTAGTGCAGGGCTGTCAAACTCCCGGGCCATGGGCCGGATGGGTCATGCGCTGGACATGCCTATGTCTGGTTTAGCAAAGGGGGGGAAAGTCCCAATATGTCATGTGACGCTGCTGTGATGATGTGAGTTTGACACCTCTGATCTAGTGGGTGAAGGTCCTGGTTCTTCATTGACAAGAAGTGGCACTTGGAGCTATTGATGAAGTAGCTTTTAAGCAGTTTCTCTTTGCCAACTGATCATCAGTATCTCCTTTATTTTTGGATGTCTTCTGTAAGGTATTTGGGATATTATACCACCAAATTTGTGTCATTTTAGATATATATTTTTTGATATATATTTTTTGTGCTTTGCTTTTTGTGGCAAGCCATTATGAAGGAATGTAGACCTGGCCTTGGGAAGGGGAAAAGAATAAGTCAACAATTAATGAGGACTTTCAGAAAAAAATATTTAGTCTCAAGAAAGAGGAAGGAATAACAAAGATACTCAAAATAACGCTTTCTTTATTTTGTTTGTCATAAGATGGAACAAAGAGAAACTCTAACATGTTATCAAGATTTTGTTATTCTTAGAATTCCTGCTGTGTTTGTTTCAGAACCTTGTATATCTCAAAGGGTTGACTTAAGTCTCAAAAACCCCTCTCTCATTGGAGAGGCATCTGGCATAGTGTTTCCAGATAGCTGAACAGACAAAGGAGAACATGAACAATTGGAAAGGAGGATACACTAACTTGTTTAGCTTTCTTGGCATTGGTGACAAAAAAAATACAATGAAAAACAGAAAAACAAAGTATTTATGCCTATCTGTATATTAAATTACTTTTTCCAGCATCCGAAAGACTCATTTTTCAAATGCAGGAATGTGCTAGAGATTAGGAGGCAAATGACTTCTGTTTATAGCTTGTTAAGCTTTTGTTAATTTCAGGCAATAGTACAAGCATGTTTGAGGGTACTAATTAAGGTCAAGGAGCAGAGCTTATTAACTTGTGGTTAGCATTTATTAGGAAAGCACTGTGCTGTAGAGGAAAGCTGCTGAGGAAGAGATTCTTTGTAGATATAGGTAGTCCTTGAGTTACGACTGATTATTTTATGTTCACACATTCCCAGCCATTGTAAATAATTGCACCATCACTCCCGCATCACCCTCTGTTGGGCAGGTCAGCTTTATGACCCCTTGGGGTACTCTGCATTCACATGACAATTATTTGTGATGTTCCTCATTGGTTTCTAGAGTTTTTTGCCAGTTTCTGTCAAAAACCATCCATTCAAATGAATGGATCCGCTTGATAACCACAGCATTTGCTTAACAATCACCACCCCAAAAAAGCCATAATATTATGTCCAGCCACATGGGTGTCTCCAATTATAACCATAATGACTTACAACTTGGTTTTTGGTCAAATTATGGTCATAGGTCTATTTGTACTCAAAAAGCCAGAAGATATTTGATGTTAAGGTTATACCTAGGCTAAACAGAAGACTTGAGAACAAAACAAAGGACATGTCCTCCTTTTTCCAGACATTGGTAATCCTAACTGGACCTAGAGCATGATGACTCATCTTTGAAATGCCCTGCTATCTGCAGAACAAGTTAACAAGGCATTATTAAAACATCAACAGCAGTGGGATACACAACTAACAAACATGTACAACTACAACGTGAGAAAGAAACTCAAAATAATGCTACCTTGATTTTTTTGTTTGGTATAATAGGAAGTGAAGCGAAACTGACAATTTTCCCAGATTCTATTATTCTATACTACAACAATAAAAAGCATTGCTGGAATTCCTGCAAAACATGTTTCCTGTTCTGACCTACCAAGAAAATCAGACAGCTGCTGAGTCTGTTTAGATCAGGGCTGTCAAACTCTTGACCTGCGGGCCAGGTGGCCATGCCCACACCAGGTTTAACGAAGGGGGGAAAGTCCCGATATGTCATGTGACGCCACGATGACATCAGTTTGATACCCCTGGTTTCAATGTTTCTCAACTGTGACAACTTTAAGATGTGTGGACTTCAACTCCCAGAATTCCTCTAGCTAGCATGAAGTTGAAGGCAAGTGCACATATCTTAAAGTTCTCAAAACTGAGAATTATATATTTTCTTTTGCAGAATCCAGAAAGGCAGAATGAAATAAAGAAGTACCTAAGAACATTACAGTATCAGTTAAGCCTGTAAAAGCAATTTAAAAGACTAAGTTAAAAGGTATGCTTTCAAGTCTTTTTTAAAAGCAGAGATTGGGAGCCAACCTTAACTTGGACAGAATACATTAGAAATCAAGATTTATGTAGAAGTTGTTCAATCAGCTAACGAGAAGGCGTGCTCAGGAGGAAACACCTGAGGAGAAAATCCTCAAGAAAAGGTCAAGAATTTTATGTTAAACGAAAAAATATTGGGTCACAATATTATACAAAAGCTGAAACATATTGTTCAAAACTTCAGAAACCAGGTTGCCTTTTGTAATTTTCTAAGCATTAAAAACAAATAATTGCCTAGGCTAGATATGTATATCATGTTTTATATGATATAAGGAACATTCTTCATTAGTTTTTAATTATACATTCAGTGGCATATAGCAGAATAAAGCAACTTGCTGCATACAATATGAGAAGGAAAGAACAACTAAAACTTGGATCTGAAAAAAGACCTGAAGTTTGACTCTTGGGATATTTAAAATGGCCAGAATGTCCTCCTTCTGCACCAACTTTTTTAAAAATAGAATGTATATTCATTTGAGGCCCATTCCTGAAAATTTCTTCTCACATTTTGTGCCAACAAAATTTTTCTCCCTTGGGCAAAAATGCTGTACATAATATACAAAAGAGTATATTAAAACTGAGCACATTAAAATTAAAAGATAAAAACATACTACTTCACATGCAAAGTGTAGGACATCTGCCAATAATCATCCTTTCCCTGTTTGCTAATCTAATCTAAACAAACTATACTTACAAGCCCAATGTGGATTATGTTTTGGATACTCAACCTAAATTTAGTTATCTTTTTCTATTTTTCTTTTATATTGCCTAAGGAAGAATACTGAGGCACTCTAAAATTGGAGAAATTGCATATTATTCTGCCACTTTTTAGCAGATCCTGGTAAATAACATTGCCCTAATTTTACTTTATCTAAGCTAAAAAGTTAAATGTTCCTTTTCTTATTTTTCTTGGCAGCAAATTCAGAAT